TTACAGAGTGCTAAGCCATTGGTTGTTTCTTCCATTTTGCAAGACAGCTCAGTCATGTTGGAGAGATGTTCAAAATATGATAATCATCACTGCACAGTTTTCCATTAAAGTGTTACTAAACTCACAACAGTAAAATCAGTCTGTATATGAAGTAAAGTATGCTTGGTATACTCACTGTGGAACCTAAGGAGTTAATTATCTGCATTGTGTTAAAAGGTTGTTTGATCCTGTCCTCTCTCTCTGATCCTCCCCTTTTTCCTTAGTCCCCAAGCCATTTGATTATAGTACAGAGCACTCTGCACATGCTCAGTTTGGTGTGTATTGTTTGGTGTTTTTTTTTTTTTTTGGGAGGGTGCACGTGATTGGCACAGGGCCAATCAGCACTGTCCAGACAGAGGGGCAGGGGTCATGCAGCCTCATAGGACAATCATAGGAGAATTAAAACTCCTCCTACAAGCTTTAACTAGTGCTAGGCCAGACAATGATAGATGTCACAAGACTGCTATATACGAGTGCTCGTACTGCTGATGAGAAAAGATATTTACCAGTTTATATTTACTAAAAAAGTTGCATTTTCATGTTCTGTGTACTGTGAGAGACCAGATATAGTGAATGCACGATCCTGGGTTTAGTAAAACTTTAAGCTAGAAATCCTCAATTACTCACTTTACTATCCGCTACCCTTTGTTCCTACAATCCCTCAAATGATCACCAGAGCCAGCACTATAATGATTCACGAGAATCTTACCAACATCATGGATGACTAACTAAAATTCTGTCTATACTTAAGACCCATGTATTTTCACTCAATATCAGTATCACCCGTATCAGCCGTAAGAAGCTCTCAGGCTTCTTACGGCTTCTCGAGAAAAAATAATCTGACCCAGTTATACCTAAAACTCATCCATCCAGTTCACAAATATATATTTTCAGCTTTATTATTTATGTTTTATTTAAAGCGGCGCTTAGCTCATATTTGTTACCATGGTTCTCATGATGTCTGATGTTCCTGACAATATAATTCATTCAAAATGTAAAAGCTCCATATGTACTGTGTACCTTTTTTCATTTTTTTTAAATAAATAGACATTCTAGAATGCTGACACGTTAAAGGAAATCTTAATACTGTAACGTCCTCTAGTGTAAGAAGGTTTTTTTTGTGTATAGTTAGAGGCTTGCTAGAAGCCTGGGCTGGGTGTGAGTCAGCAAGGATACTTTAGGTTAGGGCTGGAGGGCTCTACAGTTCATTCTTCTGGTACCTCCCCTTGCTCTAGAAACTTGGAAGGTTTCTAGAAACCAGTGGACAGAGGTGAGGAGGGGCTGATCTGCATATTTATGGGAGTCAAACCAATCCCAGACAGGAGGCCTGGCAGTGTGGGTGATCAGCCCATAAATATGAAGGAGCCTGGCCAGCAAGGGGAGGAGTGAGGAAGTGCTTCTGCTGTGGAGCCTGTGAGGGGACCCAAGAGGAGGGGGTCTACCTACAGGCTTGGAGCCTGAAAGAGGGACATCGACTGTTCTACAGTCGGCCGGGGAAGCACAGTCTGTCAGCAAGGAAAGAAGTCAACCCAGCATAAGTCCTGAAAGCAGCTTCACCTTTTAAAACTACAGGAACAGGGCAGTGTGAGTACCTCTAAACCCCCAGGGCCTACAAGGGAGAGGGCAATCAGGTGCCATACCCAACTAGTTCTCCCTGGGACAGCATTCTCATGTGTCTCAGAATCCCTTGCCCTGGGATACTTTCATGAAAATCGGGTGGATGAGGAGATTTTCATCTAGGGTCTAAAGAAGGTTCATTTAAGGGGACAGAGTGCTCCCACTAAGGACTGTGTGCTGATCTGTTAAGAGACAAGAGCCAATCCAGAGAGAGTAGAGAGTCCAGGATCAAACTTTTCAGCTTTTTGAACATAGGAAGTTTGTACTCCAGGTTGTTTCAGTTCTATTGGGCTTTCCATATACCCCTATACCCCATCCAAGTTGCTTAACCCCAAATAAAACAACAAAACCAAGCTGATAAACTGTTTACTGAATTTGGATGCAAAAGTGGAAAATGCATGTTGCCTGGCTGTGCAGGAAAATAGGGGGACCCAAAATTAGTGACTCTCAAGAGGGTAGCACTACAATATATTAGGAAACTTCCAACATGTTACAAGAGTCTTGATATATTTAGCATATATATACTTTGAACAACTGCATTGCTCTTGACTGTATACAAATAAAATGAATCCAAAATTTTCAGAATAGTTAAAATTAAAACTTTTATTTGACTATAGGAGATGCACAGATGCTTGTCAAGCAGAGGGAGAAGTAAGGTGTGGCAGGCCAGGTATAGTCACAGTTTATAATGATAAATTAAATATATGGCAACTGTGTAGCCTATTGGTGCTTTTCTAAATGAGGACGGACTACCTAGGTCACCTAACCCTTAAAATGTTTTTAAAGCCAAAAAAAAATGTAATATGTATGAGCTTACCAATCCTTAGATGTGGAGTATACATTATTTTAATTTGCTCAGGCTCTTTTCCCTTCATTTTCAAAGGGTGATTCTGCAAATAACATACTTCCTGTCTCAGGATGAAAATACCCACTTACTGTATCAATGAAGAAGCAGTGCTGTCACCCTAGGCTGCTCTTCATATTTGGACTAAAAACACCTACCCATCTCCTTGTCTTCATTACCATATGTGACTACTAGTAAGATGTAATACATTACATTTTTGTTTTTCAGTTTAGATATACTTTAAGCTGGCCCTGGATACAAGTCAATATATATATAAAGGACATCTATTAATTATTACTAATCATTATTTATTTTTTTGTATTTATATAGCATACTGTATGTTAACATATATACAATATATAGTGCTGTGATGTGGCATTTTACATTCAACTATTTACATCAAGCTCTTTCTGATACAATCTATAATCCCTACCACTCTATACGATCTCCCATATACTATCACTTAATTTCCTACTACAATGTAAAAGGAAGCTGCAGGATGTGGGGAATACCCACAAACTATAGAGAAAACATGAAAACTCCATGTAGATAGAGTCCCTAGTAGAATATGGACACAGAAGCCAGTATTAAGGCAAGAGAACAAACCGTTACTTTTTACAATAGGCAGCACAGTGGCTAAATGGTTAGCACTTATGCCTCGCAGTACTAGGGTCATTGGTTCAAATCCTACCCATGACACCACCCTTGTTCTCCCTGTGCCTGCCTGGGTTTTCTCCAGGTACTCTGGTTTCCGCCCACACTCCAAAGACATGGTGGTAGGTTAATTGGATCCTGTCTAAATTGCCCCTACTATGTGTATGTATGAATGTGAGTTACGGACCTTAGATTGTAGGCCCCTTGAAGATTAGGGACTGATGTGAATGTACAATATATACAAAGAACACCATACCTACTGGGAAGCATGGAGGTGGCAACATAATGCTTTGGGGCTGTTTCTCCGCAAAGGGACCAGGATGACTGATCCATGTACAGGACAGAATGAATGGGGCCATGTATCGTGAGATTTTGAGTGCAAACCTCCTTCCGTCAGCAAGGGCATTGAAGATGAAACGTGGCTGGGTCTTCCAACATGACAATGATCCCAAACATACCGCCCGGGCAACGAAGGAGCGGCTTCAGAAGAAGCATTTCAAGGTCCTGGAGTGGCCTAGCCAGTCTCTAGATCTCAACCCCATAGAAAACCTTTGGAGGGAGTTGAAAGTCCGTGTTGCCCAGCGACAGCCCTAAAACATCACTGCTCTAGAGGAGATCTGCATGGAGGATGGGCCAACATACCAGCAACAGTGTGTGCCAACCTTGTGAAGACTTACAGGAAACGTTTGACCTCTGTCATTGCCAACAAAGGATATATAACAAAGTATTGAGATGAACTTTTGATATTGATCAAATACTTATTATCCACCATAATTTGCAAATAAATTCTTTCCAAATCAGCCAATGTGATTGTCTGGATTTTCTTTTCTCATTTTGTCTCTCATAGTTGAGGTCTACCTATGATGCCAATTACAGGCCTCTCTCATCTTTTTAAGTGGGAGAACTTGCACAATTGGTGGCTGACTAAATACTTTTTTGCCCCACTGTATATGTAAAGTGCTGTGTAAATTAATGGCGCTATATAAGTACAAGAAATAAATCATAAAATAAATAAATTATCTGCACCCCCTTATTATGTCTTAATAGTTACAAAATTATTTAGATTGATACCCTATAACAGTGATGGCGAACCCGTGGCACGCGTGCAACAGCCGGCACGCCGAGCCTTATCTGTGGGCACGCCAGGAGAATACCGTATTTTTCGCTCCATAAGACGCACTTTTTTTCTCCAAAAAAAGGGGGGAAAATGTCAGTGCGTCTTATGGAGCGAATATAGAGCGGCCGGTCCGGTATTTCCACCGCCGCCGTGTCAGAATACCGGGCCGGCCGCTCAGCTCTGCAGTGGGACCGTACCTGTCCCTCTATCCAGCGGCGCGCTGTCTTCCCGGCTTCTGTAGTGTGCGTGACAGCCGGGTCCCAAGTGCGCATGCGCAAGAAGCAGTGCTCTTTGTGAATGGTAAGGCGGTACCTGAGACACATGACAGATCCCAGAAGCCGCCGGACCAATCACAAAGCGCAGCGCTTCTTGCGCATGCGCACTGGGCATCCGGCTGTCCGACGAGCGCCCACACTACAGAAGCCGGGAAGACAGCGCGCGGCTGGATAAAGGAACAGGTAAGATAAAAAAAAAACTCTGCGGAAAAGTAAGAGCGGGTACCTGTCAAATTCAGGTACCCGCTCCCCCTCCCTCCCCAAAGGTCACAGTCATCTGTACTGTCCGCAGTCTCTGGTCATCCCTGTGCTTTCCGCAGTCTCTGGTCATCTCCTGCACTGTCCGCAGTCTCTGGTCATCCCTGTACTGTCCGCAGTCTCTGGTCATCCCTGTACTGTGTCCGCAGTCTCTGGTCATCCCTGTACTGTCCGCAGTCTCTGGTCATCCCCTGTACTGTCCGCAGTCTCTGGTCATCTCCTGTACTGTGTCTGCAGTCTCTGGTCATCTCCTGTACTGTGTCCGCAGTCTCTGGTCATCTCCTGTACTGTGTCTGCAGTCTCTGGTCATCCCTGTACTGTGTCTGCAGTCTCTGGTCATCCCTGTACTGTGTCCGCAGTCTCTGGTCATCCCTGTACTGTGTCTGCAGTCTCTGGTCATCCCTGTACTGTGTCTGCAGTCTCTGGTCATCCCTGTACTGTGTCTGCAGTCTCTGGTCATCCCCTGTACTATGTCTGCAGTCTCTGGTCATCCCTGTACTGTGTCTGCAGTCTCTGGTCATCCCTGTACCGTGTCCGCAGTCTCTGGTCATCTCCTGTACCATGTCCGCAGTCTCTGGTCATCTCCTGTACTGTGTCCGCAGTCTCTGGTCATCCCTGTACTGTGTCCGCAGTCTCTGGTCATCCCTGTACTGTGTCCGCAGTCTCAGGTCATCCCTGTACTGTGTCTGCAGTCTCTGGTCATCCCTGTACTGTGTCTGCAGTCTCTGGTCATCCCTGTACTGTGTCCGCAGTCTCTGGTCATCCCTGTACTGTCCGCAGTCTCTGGTCATCCCTGTACTGTTAATTAGTTTGCACTACTGTACGAGTTGTTTTTTTCTAAACCAAAAGCTCGATATTCAGGTTTCATTGCAGTGTTGGCACTTTGAAAGAAATAAGTTGGTTTTGGGTTGCAGTTTGGGCACTCGGGCTCAAAAAGGTTCGCCATCACTGCCCTATAAGCTCCGAAATACCGGTAAGTTATGAAAAAAAGCAAAAAGAACTGTAGAATGTAGATTCAAGACTAAATCATAGTTCACTCCAAATAAAGGTTTTATATCCATAATGTAAAGCGCTGAGCAATAAGTCCTGTATAATAATAATAATATGAAAGAATTTGGAAAGTTTTGTAACTCTATTTTTGCTACTACACCTACCTACACCTATTAATTCTAAACACTTTTCAGTAAACACAAAAGGAGGTTTCAGTTAATGAAGACATACTGCCTCCTAGATTGTAAGCTCGAAAGAGCAGGGCCCTCGAACCCCTCGTGTATCGCATCGTATTGTTACTGTACTGTCGCATGTTCTGTCCCCCTTTGTAATGTACAGTGCTGAGTGAACTGTTGGCGCTTTATAAATACTGTATAATAATAATATTAAGTGGAACAAAAGACTGAAACAGGAACCAGACCATCAGGTGGATCTTGAATGTGGCTCCATTACAAGGCATAATACAGGCTCTACAGTTAGAATAGTTTGGGCAAATACATAGGATGACTCAAGACAGACTGTGCAGTCTAACTTGGTCATCAAGGTGTAAGGGAACCTGAGAAAAGGGAAACCATGATTGAAATGAAAGCAAAACATCAAAGAAGCAGTAGCCATATGAATGAATAGATTGTAACCGAGCAGTGACATTGTCCAAAAATCCAAAATGACAGACATATATAGAGCACCTGTGGGAGCAACTTCAAAGATAGATGAGAGCCATTTGTGACTCCAGGCCATTGTGTGGATATCTCCGCCATATAGTAAGCTGTGAAGAAAAATGTCCCACTAGTCCAGTTTAGTCAGTGACTTATTTGTTACATTTGTTTTATGTATATTGATTCTATTGTGGAATAAACACATTTGCACAAGCACCTTTCTCTTATGGCTGGTTTAAAAGGTATTTATATAATTGTAGGAAAGTGAATATTTTGTAAGGCCCATTTCTGGATATAACCAAAATATATGATGGTAATGTCAGAATTTGTACTTACCATACTGACTATACTTACCATACTTCTTACAATCTAATTGTACAATTACCTTTAGGTTTAGCAACAACTGACGAGGGCAAAATGAAAAGGTGAGGTCCCTGGTTTATGGAGTTACTGTTACTTTTCTGAGCATCTATGATCAACTCAGTATAAATAAATGTCTAGCATCTAAATTCAAGTATATTAAATGGCTAAAACTATGAAAAAATAATAGAATTCACTTTTGGTACAAATATAAGGAAGTGATTAAAAAAAATTCAAGATCTCTTGGCCAGTAAAGACTGAATCTTTTTTAACAAGCCTACTTTTCCCAAAGCATGTCTCAAAATACTAGCATGTAATTGGCATCCTCTGTTTATAACAGCTGTCAAACATTCTCACAAACTTAATTCAACAGCAAGGCAGAACAAATCTCATTGGCACTTGAACAGCAAACTGCCACTACATACAGAACAAAGAATCATGCCATTTACAGGATTCCAACCTTGTTCTATCAAATAAATCTTCTTTTTATGTTTAATGAAAAAGACTAAGAGTATATTTATTCTGAATGGTACAGAAAATGGAACTATCAACTAAGACTGATGGATAAAATAGTTCCTACAGTTGTACAATACAAAATATATTAATGCCCGCACTCGACAGCTGACTATGAACGTGGCCTGAATATGTGAAGGAATAGAGATAACCTAAGGACACTAAATTAGAGCAAAAAGTTGCTTTTCAGTGCCTTGTGAAAGCAATCACCCCCTTGGAGTTTTTCCTGTTTTGATGCATTACAACATGAAATTAAAATGGATTTTTTTTAGGCTTCGTATCATGTGATGTACACAACATGCCTACCACAAAATTATTTTTATTGTGACAGAAACATTTACTGTAAATGTTTCCTTTTAAGCTACTCCAGTGTAGCTTTAGCAGTATGTTTTGTGTTTACTGTCAGTTTCCTGCTGGAAGGTAAATCCCAGCCTCAAGACTCTGGCAGACTGAAACAGGTTTTCTTTAAGAATTGCCCTGTATTTAGTGCCATCCGTCTTTCCTTCAATTCTTTAAACAAGTTTTACAGTCCCTTCCAATGTAAAGCATTCTCACAGCATGATACTGCCACCACCATGCTTCACTGTGGGGATGGTGTTCTCAGAGTGATGGGCATTGTTGGGCTTATGCCATACACAGCATTTCCTAGTATGGACAAAAAGTTAATTTTTAGTTTGGCCAAAGAACCTTCTTCCATGTGTTTGAGGATTCTCCCAAATTATTTTTGGTAAATTCAAAATGCATGTGTATTCTTAATTTGTTCTTTAAGCAATTACTTTTCTTCTGGCCACACTTCCATAAAGCACTGCACTGTGGACTGTACAGCTTAAAGTGCTCCTATCTATGCTATCTTTGGCGTTTATGCTGCATCGTTGATTAATACCCTTCTTGCCAGGTCAGGGAGTTTTGATGGGTGGCATTCTCTTGTCAAGTTTGTAGTGGTGCCATGTTCTTTCTATTTTGTTATCATGGATTACAAGTCTACAGTATGTTACCTCAAAACTCAGGATTTCCTAAATGTGTTGGCTTATACCTATAGTTCTTCAAAAAACATATCCCGTAAAATGTTTTTTTAACCATTTAATGCTATATTCCATGTGATCCTGTCAGTTCCCCTTGGTTCCTTTATCAAACTGACCATGCCAAGTATGCAAACATTTCCATGCTGGCGTGGTCAGTTTGTGTCATGGGATCACTGGTAGGAGGTACAGACATACTGTGCTTTGGTATGGCATGCCTGTGTCTCCTGTAGTCACTTTTGTGGTCATCCCCCTTCCAGCCCTGCTGTGTTACAGCTGCAGCAGGTAAGAGCATAGATCTGCCTTCTGAGATGCTTGCACAATGATGGGTAACAGCCTTTCCCATTGTGTATGATGTCACAGTATTCCTGCCTGCATGCTGTGCTATGAGCAGGGGGAACACAAAGGAGACTGTTTGGTCATGTGAATGCAGGATAAAGACTAAAAGTATATAAGAATTATGTTGAGTAAAAGCAAGTGGTTTGGGTGTGTGACTCCTGACTTTTAAACTACTTGATTTCCAGATACTTTACTAGTGCTCCATTGGGATAGTCAAAGGTTGCATTTTTCTTATAACACAACCCTAATCTTTATTTCTCTACAACTTTGTCTTTGACCTGTTTGAAGGATATTTTGGTGTTGATATTGCCTACTTGGTGATGCAAACTCAGGGGCCTTTATGAAGAGGTGCATTTATACTGACATCATGTGACAGATAATATGACACTTTGATTGCCCATAGGTGGACCTTACATAATCATCTAATTATAGGACTTCGGAAGTTAAAGTGATTCTAAAGGCTTATTTTTTTAAGAAAAAATAAACATGTCTATACTTACCTGCTGTTTGCAGTGGTTTTACACAGAGCAGCCCGAATCCTCCTCTTCTTGGGTCCCCCACTGGCGCTCCTGGCCCTTCCCTCCTGTTGGGTGCCCCAGTAAGCAGCTTGCTATGGGGGCACCCGCTGCTCCATATGTCCATTCACACACAGAGCCACGACTCGGCCCCGCCCCTTCTCTCTTCTCATTGGCTCACTGGCAGTGATTGACAGTAGTGAGAGCCATTGGCTCCCACTTCTGTCTCAGCCAATGAGAAGAGGGAGTCCCAGGATAGCCGAGACTCAAGTGCACAACTGGATCGAGAGGGGGCTTAGGTGAGTATTAGGGGGGGCTGGGGGGGAAGATTATTTACCTTCATGCATAGAATGGATGAAGGTAAAAAACCTTCAGTCTTTACAACCACTTTAATTGATTTAACCACATCTTATTTAGGAGTTTCATTAATTATTGTTTGTGATGCAATAAAAAATATTTTGCACCTCCAAAGTCATGGGCATATCATACACAGCACATGATAAAATCCACCAATAATTAATTTTATATCCAGATTGTAATGCAATAAAACAGGGAAAACATCAAGCACTGTACAATGCTTTAACAGGTCATGCTCCATAACTGAGCCCTATGTTCACTTGAGAGTTCTTGGACATCTCTCACAATGAACTTACAATGACTTTAGCACATGAGGAAATCTCGTAATTTCAAGAATAGGGATTTTAGCAGCAGGGTCCTTAAAAGAAAGATAAGAAATCCTCAGGTGGTTTAGTTCTCCGGCATCTACCAAAACCGTAAGTATTAATTTTGAGTGTAATAACCTTTTAATATAATCTCTATGACCTCTATAAGCTTTTTGTTTGAGAACACGCCTTTGGTTATATGGCAACCTTTAGCATTCCAGAGTCAATAATCGTTGGAAATAATTGCATAATTATTGGAAACAGCAATCTAGAAACAGTTGCCAGCTGCTGACTTAAACTAGCCATAGACTGATGAAATTTTGATCAGTGTGTAAAATCCTTTGCTCGACAGAAATCATCAAAACAAATCGACATTTGTTGAAGGTACATGTTAAAAAATGTTCCACCAATCGGTGGCTGCAGCCAATCAGCTGTAGCCATTCTTTAGTGTATTCTGATGGTGGTAGATGCCACTGTTCTTCCATCTACCTCATTTGTGTGAATGGAGGAATCTGTTCCTCCACTGGCTGAATAAAAATATAAATAGATAAATATTGTATGGCCAGCTTTAGGCTAATTTTGGATCCACATAGAAGTACTGTGTAAATTACCTGAATTGG